TTCTTGCTCTCTTCATCAAACCCCCTTGCACAAAATCATATATGTACAAAACAGAGACCCAATTAATTTGTAAATTAACCTTGGCTTTCTCATTTTTGTACTCTTTAATCATAAAACATATAATTGTCTCCCTCACAAATACTTAAACGTTCAGTGTATCTTGGATGCTAGACAGAATCTGCCCCTTTGTGTCTTTGAGGGCTATTTGGGGACTATCTGTTCCTAAGAAATCCCCTTGCAAGGAAAAATTAACGTTTCTCCTTCCAGTGAGAAATTCACTCCCGTGAGAAGTGCTTGGTAACATTTATAATTTGCTACCAATCATTCAGTGTTTTTGAACGTTGAACAAAATACTTTTATAAGACTGAACAAAAGTTTTAGTCTGCCCAGGCTATTGTGTACAAGATTGCAAAAGATGTTCTACGTCATCCTCTTTCCTGCAACATCTCCAGCACTGCTTTTGCAGCAGCAATCTCTGGAAACATCCCAGCATGGGAATAACTAAATCTGTGCAACAATTTATACTGAGCTCTCATTAAACTGCAGCTATTTGCACAGCCAAGATCTTACTCTACCTTATTCTTTTTTTTCCCAAATGGTATATTTCACCTACATAAATGCTAGTCTACTGTGATCTTAAAAAAATAAATTATCCCTGTATTTCAGATGTCACTGTCTTCATTGAGAGTCCAAGAATGAAACTGTGTATATGTCAGTCAAACTTCTATTACAATTTCTTCCAGTGAAACTATAGAACTGGGAAATTTTGAAGGCTCTTCTCCCTTCTTATCTTTTTTTAATACAGGAATTTTTTAATTCTCAAGAAAGTTTCTGCAATGGACAGTATTGCTTTCTTCCAAGCAGCTTTCTGGATTATTTAAATCCTCTTCAGAAAATAAGAGAATTCAGTAATCAAAGTAACCAGAGTTACCTTAGTTTATTCTCTTTAATGTGTTAGCCATGCCTGTAGCTCCAGTTCTGCCACAGTTAAGATATACTGCTTAACTCTATGTAGGCTGACTTCTGTCTCCATATGAGATCCACTCACATCTACTCAAGTATTAGCTGAAGGATTAGTATCTAAATTTGTATTTCTTCCTCTTGGTCAAAAACAGAGCACAGAAGAGCTATTTCTTTTCTAAATCTTGTGAGAATCCTATTCTACACAATTCCAAGTTGTTTAATAACATTGCTTAAATGTTAACGCTCTGATGCTTTTCTGCTTGGAAAGAAACAGTAGAATTTTCTTTAAAGCTGAGGGTTTCTTCAAGGGACATAAGAGTAGCAGACCTTCCTAGCTTTATAGAGAAAAATGCTGTAATTTTCACCAGTACATTGAAAGATATGTGGAAATTATTGTGTACATTTATTTAAACAACTTACGCTAAGTTTATACCTAGCTCTACCTCTTTCTTTTGCTTCTGCAGGGAAGGCTGCCTTATAAAGTGAATCAAGCATGATCTACTGGGGTGAGAACCAAGGGTCCACCTCAGATCTGAACTCTATTTTGTGTCTCCTGTCACTTTACTATGTCCATGAGTCACTGTGTATCGGTTATTCTACTTCTACAATAGAATCATAGAAAAATTTAGGTTGGAAGGGACCTCTGGAGGTCATCTAGACCAACCTTCTGCTCAAAAGAAGACTAACTTCAGTGAAGATAAGTACAGTAATTACCTACATTAGAACGGCTGGAGAGTGATTCAAGATGAGGGAAGGTTCAGCCTTGCTGTTGAACCTCAGAATCCTAAAGCTGAATCCCTTTGTGATCCTGTGATTTCCGTTACTGGGAATAAATTCTCTCTCTTTGTACTCTCCAGTTATGTCTTTATTTTTTATTGTGTGTTCTTGTGGATTTTATCTGTTGACTGCTTTTGGCTATAAGACCTCAAACCAGAGGAATTGGGAGGCAGAGGAGAAGAACACTGGTTCTTAAAAAAAAGTACAGTAATACATCCTTGGATGCTTGTGTTACAGTGACAGTTTAATATGCATGATAAGCATGAAGCTGAGCTGCCAACCAGTCTGTAAGGTCTGTATCAGGTTGGACAATACCGAGTTTACCAGTAACTAAGATTATATTACAATTTGGAAGTCAGTAAACATAGCTCTCGTCTTGGCTACTGACATCCTGCCAACCAGCAATTTTTCTCAGTCACTGGGCATATCAAACTTCATCTATCATACTTGGATTACTAGTAAAGCACTAGGCAATATACCATTAGGAAATAATCATGCGCTGCAAAGATGTCCTACTAAACCTGTTTTGTTTTAAGTTAGTTTTTGCTTTTATTATGATTTTATTTTCTTGAACCCTCTCTCATTTGCTATGGCCAAGGAGGCTACGCACAGAGGATCAGCTTCCTGATCCTGAATCGGCTACATCCCCAGTGGTGATGTTGCCTGGAGCTATTTCAAAATATATATACCCAAGATTGGTATTTCATATATGCATAAAGCAAAGATTGCGATAAGCTATTTCAGTTACCTGCACCTGAAAACAAGGGGTGTCAGCCCCAGAGAAATGCCAGCCACACATTAACAGCTGGAAGCAGAATAGGAGCCACTGTACCAGCTCTAAAATGGATGGGATGGTGTTTCTGCTTTTGGCTGCTCTGACTTCAGGGCCGTGTGACAAGAATAAAGCAAATTGCTGAGGTCCATCCCAAGTTTCCACTGTGAGTCAAATTATTGATTATATGTTTCAAATGGTAAAACTAAAAGCCTCAAGTTAACCACCTGAATCAAAAGATAATTTGGCAGAACCGAGCTGTCTATGTCAGAAATGCTACCAGTGTTTTTTGCTGATGAGCTCAGAACATGCTCTGTGTCAGAGGCAGTGGGCAAGCTGCCCCACACAGTTCTGCAAACTCAGCCTTGGCTTGCAACAGCCCTTATTTCAGTCTCAAGGCTCAACAGAGCAACGCAGTCCTGACCTAACATGTCATCAGCTCTTACTGGCAATATCCTCTTCTGGGGAGTGTGCCAATCACAGTGAATCATTCCATTCAGTGACACTTCTGCATTTGGGAAAGTTATCACCCAGCTGAGACTAAAAAATTAATTCATATATGACATATGCCTCACTGGAACAGCTGAAGCCTGTTTCTTTAGTCTTGCAGTTCCACTTGTCTCTGCCGTGCCTTCCCGTTATGTGTCCCACCAGATTGTCTATCAAGCAGGTTATTTCTGACAAACATTACAGTAGATCTCAGGAATTTGTTAAGATACCAAAGTGCAACTTATTCTGAAAAGTGACTTTGTAAAACAGACTTACGAGTTCTACGTTCATTAAGTCTCAGTAAGTCCCTAAAACACTTGCTTAGATAACAAGTCAAGGGATGGATTTACTCCACCCCCATGGCTATTTCTGCACACTCGGCCTAGATGCTTATAATTATGAAGATGTGCAGACCAAACAGTGCCCCTTATTACAAATGTGAAACCTTCTTACTTTCAGAGGGACTCCAGGGATATGACTGATGGCTTGCTTTGAAAGCAAGGGGATTGCCCTGTTGGCTCTGCAATTGAGATTTATGTAATACATATGTTGATATCATGCAAGTCAAAATAGGCTTCAGCTTGATATCTCCTAGCTTTGTTCCTTCTAGATGGCTAACAGGAAAAAAAGGAAGTAAAATTTGCTTTTGCTGCTAGGTATGTTGCGCGGGTATGATGTGGAATACACTTGGTGAATATATATGGCAAATGGAAAAGCGTGCTGTTTTTATCTTCTCTGTCAAATAAAGCATTTTAGGCCAAGTCTTCAGCTGATGATTAACCAAACTGGAAAGTTTCGTGTCAGGTGAGGAGCTGGCCCTTTAATTTTCCCTTGGTTTTTATAGAGGATCTTGAAAAAGGCCTCAGAAGACTTCTAATGTTAAAGTTGCTTAGCAATACAAACAAATACTCTAGCGTGACCAAGGGTTTCAAGCAAGCTGTGTGTTTCAGCCATACTCCAGTGACCGCTTCCTATCTCCCTGCCTTACAGCACGGGTGTAGCCGACACTGGCCCAACCTGGCTGTTTCTCTTCAATGCCTCTGTGTCCGTCCTGGGGCTTCGGGGTCAGCTCTGTTGAATTCCACCACCATATCTCTCCTTCCACTGAAGAAGCTAAAAATAAAAGCAAATTTTATCAGCTATGTGTTTCATACTTTTGTTAGGGTACCCTGAGAACACAGGGGCACTGCCATCTCCTTGCAAGCAGCTACCAAGGCCCATGGTTTCTCAATCAATGGCACCCTCTGGTGGAAAAGAACAAAGGGAAGATTTTATTGTTGAGAAACAAAATCAGAATAGTTTTCTCTGAGAGCAAAGGTCTGGCCTAAGAGAGGGTGTATCTCTTCAGGCTCCTGCTATTTGTTGCTGGCCTCTCCACAGGAACGTCAAGCCACTGCTGGCAACTGTCCTATCTACTTGGAGGTTCTGCTGTGTTGTCCCCAGTCTTGCTGGTTCTGTAATAATCCCCAAACCAGAACAAGGTCTAATATCTGTTCATTGTGTGCCGCCAAAGACTTCTTGGTTATGGTGGGAACTGATGCATACATATTCAGGCTGAAAACAGATGTCTTCACAGCTAGAGATCTCTGCAAGACTTGAGGTCCAATGTGGAAGGGGTACAGCAATCTCTAGCTTTGGCTGCTGGCTCCCAGAGAAGGACGAATTGCCACATTTCTTTCCCTCCCTAGCGGCACATCAATCATCAGAATCACTAGGACCAAGAGCAGAGCTCTGTAGAGATCATACGTGCCTCATCTCTGTAGAGGTTTCCATACTTCTTTCTCTGACGTACTATGAAACAGCACCAATGGTACTGCCATTGAGGAGCACATGTCGCAGGCAATAAGGAGTTGGGAGAAGGACACAACGCAGGACTAGCCCAGGCTGAGTGCTCAGATTCCTGTGTGAGTATCTCAAGATGCTTATATTGCAGTTTTCGGAGTACAGGGGAAACTGGTAGTTAATGGGTAGAGGGCGCTGACGGAATATTCATCTAAGCATGTTACCTGCTCAAGCAAAAGTGACAGGTAAGCTCCAGCTTAGTGAGTTCTGCACTTGGTAGTACACCCTTGATGTGTGTGGAATTGGAGTAACAGGGCAGGGTCAGGCCAACATAAACCTTTGCTGACATAGCTGTAAAACTTGAGGCTGTGACTGAGGTGTGAGATGCAACAATTATGCCATCTAAACTACTGCGTGAGTGAGCATATACTCAAAACTGGAACTGATCATTTCATTTGGGGTGAAGGATCAGCAAGGAGATCCTTCAGCAAAAATGCAGTTTTGTAGCCTACCACCTCTTTCTAGCGCACCCCGAGAGTGCTCCTAATGTGATATATGAGCCAGCGTAGGTCTGGCCTAACAGCCTGAGTTAACTCTTCAGGACTGACATTTCACAGGTGGCTGCAAAATGATGAGCAGTAGCCTAGAATATGGGTTGGACTTCAAAGCCACACTTTAAATTGCTTCCTTTTTTTTTTTTCCCCTCACTGATTATTTTGCATTATATCTGAGATCAGTCAGAGAGAAGAGAAAGACTTTGAGCAGGAGACTAAAGTAACACATGACAGAACTGTTCGATGTTTGAATGTCTGGGGGATTTAATCCCTTATCTCTGATGCCAGCTGGGGAGAATGAAAGACTTTTCTTGGCATCGGATGAAAATTAAAACATCACTTGTAAGAAGTAATGGTCCAACTGAAAGAGGTTCAGAGGTTCAGCTTGAGGTTTGGCTTTGATTAAGTATCCAGAAATAACAATGCCTCTTTAAATGATCTGAACCACTTGGGAATGAATGGAGGAGGGAGGGTACCCCATTTCTCAAGCAATTTCTGCTGTTCCCTGGGCTTTTATAACCAGAAAATAGGATAGCTAAATGTTGCCACTTTTGCTTCCTTTCTTGTCAGAAATCATTCCGAGAAGCTCTTATTATTCTTAATGGACTTGGAGCAGAACTGTAAAACAGTTAAAATTGTGAACTGAACTTTTCTGAATTTCTAGCAAGGTTTGGGTTCTGTGAGGGTCACTGTTTGGTTTATCGTTTATCTTATTCAAACATTTGTCCTTGCCTAAATGCCCAGTGATCCGTTTTACTTTCAGTGCCACTGCATGCAGTCAGGCACAGTTCCCAGCCATCTTCTCTCCCTGATCTATCCTCTCATTCTTCCCTGAGCTGTGCAGAACTCACTGGGTTTCGTTCACACAGGTGTTATCATGACATTTCAGCCCACTAGGGCCAAAATCATCCCATATGTAACTTTGAGGGAAAGGGACAGAACGGCCACAGAAGAAGGGCTGACCCTTTTTGTATCACATGATTTTGTAACCTGTTGAGATTTGCTTTTGTTACCATCCGTGTAAAAGAGCTGTACTTTGAAGCTGAAGCAACAAACAACATTCAATGTCACTGGTTTGGTGGCTCATTAACCTGGGACAAATCTGGACAGGGAGCCTAGAGCTTGAGGGTGCTGTAGGCCACAATCCCAGCATTACCTCCTGAGTCTTCCCTTTCTCCTCCACGCACATTTGTATAGTTTCCAACCTGAGACATCCCCACCACTTCCTGCAGGCTAACCCTGTGCTATGGTGTGATAAATCCTGCCTGTGCGATCACAAAAAAAGAATTAAAAATATGGATTGTGACAGGTGGTCCCCAAACCACAAGCCAGTGAAGATAACGCCAGTTCCACAGTCAATGTATGAGTGGCACATGGCCTGCCAGCGAATTCAAAGCAACGATAAGTTGCTGATGGCATATAAGGTTTCTCTTAAGTGTCAGAGCAATTGCAGAACTGCCAAGTAGATCACAACTTGAATCTGCAGAATGTAAGAGAGTGTCAAGAGAGACAATCACATGAGACATCCAAGTAATTTCAGGAAAGAAACAAGCAGTAACCAGAAAGCACTATGAAGACACATACCAAGAAATGGAAGAATGAAGCTTGCAATGGACATCTCCTAAAACAATATTTAATCTAAATTTAAGTCCCAGTACAGTGCCCATAATCTAAATACAGCACTGGGATTGAACTGTTCTAGGTTTCTTGTCTGGCAAATTCTACTGAAAAAACATTGGTGACATGGTGTTTTTCAAGGCATTGACTCCTTGCTGTTTTGCATATTTTCTATCTGTCTGTCTTCTTTTCACTGGGGCTGAATGAAATCTGGGATGTATGGCTAGGGGGGCCCAAAACTCCATTTACTAAATCTCCTTGCTCCCATAGAAATATAAAAAAGGAAAGAGACTTAGAAAGTCACCTACCTTCTCCCATCTTCTTCTCTCAATGTAACTATCAAGGATGGGCTGCGACATTAAATCATCTAATGATTTTCTTCTCTTTATTTTCAAGGTCTCATGTGATAGGGTTTGTACCACTGTTCTCAGGGGAAGCACAACCAGACTTTCAACATACCATGTTATGGTATCACCGTGACATAACCTTATCCTAACTGTCTGCTTGCCCATCTCTTTGAATCTTCCCTGCTGACTCCTTATTCTCTTTCCTATCAAGCATATGGTTCTTTTCTTCATTTTCAGCATCTTCACAGCCTTTCCTGAACCTATCTCCAAAATCTTCATGACCAGCCTTCACCTATTCTACCATCTCCCATTTGCTAGGAAAATGTTTGTTACAATTCCTGACTAGTCTACAGCCACCAGCTTGTTAAAGCCTCCAGCTTGTCAAAACTACAGTAAAGTTCCTACATTCTTCCGCCCTTTCCATTTTCTCATTTGAGAGGAGGTCCTTGTAAATACTCACAAAGCTAGCTCCTCCTCAAAGTCAAGCTCTGCTGTGATGGCCCACAATAATTGACAACTGTAGCTCACAAGTAAGCTGAACTCACCGCTGACCAGTGATCTCACTATTTCATTGTCCTTCCCCTCAGAGAGAATTGATTTCATGCCTTACATGAAGACTATTAGCAACCTAGGGCAGAAACCATCTTTGTACTATTTTATATAGCACCTAGTACAGTTTCCTTGATTGAGAGTTATGTAACACACACTCAGAAGGAAATACAAATGAAATTGCGGTTCCACAACCTAACGTGATCATCCACCAGGACACATTCCTGACCATGCACTGATGAGCCCAAGATCTGTAAAGATCTGTAAAGATCCTGAGTTAAGCTTATGAAGCATGATTCAAATTGTCACTTCTCCGTGACTTGATTTCAGTTCAGATATAAATGCCAAGCTTTTCATAGCAGTTTTTTATATTTATGCGGAAAATGCCACACCCCTGCTACTGCAGAAATATTCAACAGAAAATAGTAAGAGCCCAAGGGGTCAAATATTGATTTAATATGGAGCTGGAGAGTCTAAGAGCAGGATTTCCTGTGAGATTTCCAGCATTTCAGATTTCTAATCCCTCTGTGAACTCCGAAGCAGTTGGATTTGAAAAAAAAAAACAAAAAACCTTATAACTAAATAAATAAAAAATAACCAGACTTGTCTGAACTCCAAAAGTATTGTGATTTGAGCTGGCAAGGAAATTTTGGGTTAACTCTTACGGCATTTGGTTCTTAGGATCAATCTGCAACAATAGCGATGTTCAGTACTGCCTGGGCCTGGTCTTTAGAGAGCCTGAGCTCCTGCAGTTCTGCCTGACTTCCAGTGAAGCTATAGGGACTCGTGCCCTCTTGAAAATCAGGCCTATTGTGTATGAGCAATCAAAAGCAATCAAGCTGAACAACCATTCAGAAGGTACACTCAGTAAATCACCATCTCAATAGGTTCTGCCATTCTCTTTTCTAGTAATCTTGTAAAAGGTGGTCGGTCTTTTTAGGTGACAAGGGCCACTAGGCTGTCCAGACTTTTTCTGAGGGTGGGGATTCATTAAAGAGCAAAGAGTCCAGTATGAAAGACATTAACACCTAATTTCCTCCCTCAAAAGAATTGTCTTGTGGTAGAGGAGTGCAGAAATGAGGTTGGCTTTTCAGTAAACTAGATGAGTAGCCAGAAGAGGGACAGAAGAAAAGTCACCAGGAGTAGAGAGGCTCCGAAATACTAAATCAAGGGAAATTTAACAGCTATATTTTTACCGAAGACTTGAAAATTGCAGATGCAGTCAAAAAATAATGCCCCAAAGAAAGAACTAGTGGTGTTTAATCCCTTGATATAGGCCACCTCTGTCCTATTCCGTTTATTGAGGAGGAAGAACAACAGTACTCATGGGATTTAATATTTCCTGGTCTATTCTGTTTTTAAAGACATGGCAACTTAGAAAATTAGAATTTCAAAAGTAGGCTTAGTTTAGCTTGTGGTGAATAGGCAACTCATTGCACCTGAGTCACCTAACTGCCCCTTTGGGACTGTTTTCATGCATCTCTCTAAAAACAGATCCCTAAGATGCTGGTGTTGTTTTCTGTTTTTTTTTTTTTTTGGAAAATTTGTGAACATTTCTGAATTTGAAATTCAGTAAATTCAGTTAAATTTTCAACTCATTTTAAAAGGACAAAAGCTAAACTGCCTAAAAAAAAAAAAAAAAGGAAATTGGAGAGCTCTCCAGTCCAAAGGAGTATTGGTCACTCCAAACCAGCACCCCATGTTCCTAATGTTCTACAGCGCCAGCCCCAACATCCTTATGTCATTCTGATGAAGTAAAGTCACGCACCAGCAGGACGCTGCCCACATTGAGCAAACATCACTAAAGCAAGCCAACAGGCTTCTAATAAGCAATAATTGTTGCTATATAAAACATGGAAGAGACTGTGTCCCTTCCTAAACTAATAAGCTTTCAAGTCTGCTCCTTTTCTTCTGCAGAGGCAGGATACATTTTTACAGATACTAACATTGTTGATTCCCTAGTCTGCCTTCACCTAAAACCTGACCAAAGCATTTACAAGAACAGATGAAGTCATGCAAATCCGTATTTTCTGATAACATAAGGAGAGCTTGGTCCCGTACCCACTGAGCAGCAAGGAGAGGCCAAAGAAAATCTGACATGAAGATCAGACACTGCTGCTTTTGCTTCTTCATTATATTAAACACTCAAGTAATGATTAGCTTCTCCTGTAGCTTCCTCATTACTGTGGCAGAGGGTGGATTTTGCTAAGTAACTGTCCACAGCATGCCTTCTGGTGCCGTGATAACACCCCTTCACTAATCAACCTCTGATAACGATGTGCTGTGAAAGCTGTGTGCTAACCTGTCACCTGGCCTCCTGGCTCTATCCTGAATTACTGTCTTTTGTTTGCCTACATGCTTCACTCCCTTGAATTATAACATAATAAAGCAATGCCATGGTAATTACTAATAAAGGGATATTTGTAAAAGGACCAATCTTCAGTTAGCAAGCCATTGCCGTGGGGGCCTGCCCATCTGTGTGGCATAGCGCCATAGTTAGAAGACTGCTCTGTAGGACTCTCTAAGGAGCACCAGCATAAGTGTCCGGAGCTGCTCCAGCCAGCTGTTACACTACCGTGAGTAGAGAATCAGGTCTCAACAGCTCAGCGAGAACAGAACTGCTCCTGGGTATGAGAACACCGAGACGGCTTTGCTTTTCTGTGCCATGAGGCATACGGTTTGCGCACAGAAATTTCCCAGAGAAACTTGCCCAGCAAGCTCCAGTTGCTATCCGGTGGGTCCCTCCTCTCCACCCCGTTGCCTTGGGCAGCCAGTCCCTGTCTTTCCCTCTCAGTCACGATCACGCAACTTCCCCGAGTCTTGGCTCCTACAGTGATTCTTCTGCCGTTAGTCCCTTTCTCCCTCTTCCCCCAAACTCCTCATCCACACGGAGTTTGCACTCGCCTTCCGATGCTTCTCGGCTCGGTCTTCCTCACCAGGCTCCTCATTCACTCCCCCACCATCCCCCTCACCGCTGTATGTTTCCTTCTCCCTGCTCTGCTTTCCTGCTTTTTCTCTCCCCACAGGCCTTCCTTGTCTCCTTGGCAGATCTGATCTCCCTGTTTCTTCACCCGCTGCCCTTCTTCAAGCCTCTCTCAATTAGATATTCACACTGAACTTGCTCCTCTCTTAAGCTGAGCTTTCTGTGTGCACGAAGGTGCACGGGGAGATCACGGAGAAGGAGGCTGCTACATGTTCAGTGGTTAAGCAGAGCCCTTCATTCTCCAAGGCTCCCCAGCCAGCACCTTATAGCCTTGGGTGCTGCAGCGTTCAGAGGAACAATGAGTTGCAGAGGGGGGCCTGCCTTGCAGCCAACTGCTGGAGGCAGGTGGCACTGATGATGGACATCAAGCATGGTAAAAATAAAGTATGTGTATCTGCAGATACGCATTACGCCCTGTGCCTGGCTATCTATCATAGAATATTTGCATAATTTCTCATACGCAGTATTTACTCAACAGCCATGCTCATGACATGCAAAGAACTATGTTGCTGTAGGGCATCAAAGACACTTCCCAGCGTCCTTGAACAGGACCAAGTGGGAGGGTTAGCTGTTGGTAGGATTCTCAGGGGCACTCTGGCAAAGATATCTGACACCGCTGCGAGACAGCTGCTAATAGACAATGTTCTTATTGTGCCTCCTACATTCCCCTGTATTTATTTATGGCCCAATCCTGCCAGGTGCCAGCATCCCACAGAGTGCTGACTGACCTGGCGTCAGTGGAAGGTAACGTACACCACATCAGGAGAGATGTGATCAGCAGCTTGCAGGATGCAACCGCTCGACTGTGTGCTCTCATTAGCAGAGAGGAATTAGTCCTTCCCTTGTTTCTTGTTCTGAATTGAGAGTTCGGTTAGTGCCTAAAAAATGATAAGAATATACCTGAAATCTGGTGATAGTTCAACCTTCAACAATGTAGGAGATTATAAAATACTGATGCTGAACAATGATACCACGGGGAAGGCAAAGCAGCTGCAAATTAGGAAGTTTTCAGTTTGTACTTTCTGCTTGGAATAACAGGAATTTTTAATCATCTTGCTGCCCACATAAAATTCACAAGGGGGAACGCACATTTCCCTAAATAAGAGAAACAACTCTCACATGAAAAAAAAAAGACTTCTCTCTAAGGGCTATTTCCATGGTAACTTCTAAATTCAAAGCTCAAGCTGTTTTGGCTGTAGGGATACTCAGAAAAGGTAACAAGACTGTTTGTTGTTGTTGGTAATAATGGGAAACCATCATCTCTGCCTTTTCATGCAAAATAGGCTGGATTGTTTTTGTTTAAAACTTCCCCCAAACCGGCAAAGAACAAGCATGACAAATTTTACCCTGGAAGGTGAAAGACTGAGAAAGCTGAGAGTGACTGAACATAACGAATTAGAATAGAAACGTATTCATGATTTACCCTAGTAGTTCACAGTCAGCTCCCAATCTATCCATGTAGTCCTTTTTATACCCTCAAAACTCAAAGTGGGCCACATATTTTGTAGGGATATACATTTTTTTCAACACAAATAAATGAATCTGTTTCTGCAGCAGTTAAGTGGGCATCAGAGCACAGACACCAGTCTAAAACCACGTGAAGACGAGAGATTTTGGAACAGGACACAGACGCCCTCTGGAACACACACAAGCACACACACAGAGGGAACGGGAACTGGAATGGGAACTAGGCTGCAGTTTTCAAGAGTTCATCCCTGCTAAGTGAGGTAATGTAATCCTATGCACGAAGAAAAAAATATATGACCACATTGTTACAGATAGCATAGAGAGGAATGATGAACTGGCAACCTTCATTCACAGTGGTAATGCAATAAACAAGTCTTGGTATTTCCTAGCATTTGAATAACTGACGGTTTCTTAATATTCTTTTAATGCAGAAGACGGAAGGAAGGAAGCGTATCCAGTTATCTTTACTGAAGTATATTTTGTTATGATGAACTCTGCAAAGTGCTAAGCAAAGCCCTTCTGAGATTGTTTTTTCCATAACAATAAAGCTAGTAGTTAGTTTGGCCTAATATTGCTGAGGTTGAGCATGTGAATAAACTAGAGACTTAAGGCAAATAAAGCTTTGGGCTTAAAGTATGACTTCTCTACTGTAAGAGTCCACTCAAAGATAGCACATTACTCATCTCTGGCTGTCTTTTAAAGGGTGTTGGGGCTGCTTAGTGCTTTCAAGATCACGCTCGGTGATTTATGGGACTATGCAATCAATCCTATGCAAATCAGTCAGCCTTCTGCTTGCAGAGGTGAAAGGCAGCAGGACTGAATGTGTATCTCTGTTCGCTAAGCAGCAGGTGGAAAGGTTTCTAGTTATACAGAACTCTAAACAGAGATTTCATTCAATGTTTCTGAAACTAGGGATCTGTCTAGCCACGTTTGCCAAAGAGCCAATTAAAAAGGGATGCATGAAAGGTGACTGACTGGCAAAGGTGATGGGCACTGTTGTCTTATCGGCAGGTTGGAAATAAGACTCAACTGAACCTTTGAAATCGTTAATAAGGCACAAATATGCATGCTGTTGTCTAATATTATAACTAGAATTATCAGAAGGGAGAAAATTTTGTGCAAACGTTTCTAAAAATTGGCACCATTGGACAGCCTCCCTATGTAATCAAGGGCAACTCCCAAAAAACTCAGTGGGAACTAGCTTTCCTCTACGTTAAGTAACACGTTCCGGAGTCTTACAGCAACTTGTGAACAGCGCTACAGATTATCAAGATACTGGTCCAAAAGATGTTGCCATAACTCCCCGCTTTTCAAAGTGGTCGATTAGCAAAAATTTTCTTCCTTACTGCAGTTAAGACCAGGCTTAAGCATGCTTCAGACACGGATCCTGTCTATATAGCAAGTAGTTAGACTTGTAAGGGGGCTACAAAAAAATGCATGGTCTGTTTTTACTTATAGTTCAAAGATGAAGAGGTCACTGCCACTTCTGTCCTGGTATGGGGTCTTTGTAACACAGTAGGATTTTCCTGCATGGGAGAAACTTTTAATTTCTTAGAATAGGAATTTTGTCCCCTGAAAGATGCTTTTGAATTCATGGGTTGCCCGGCTAAGTTTAGGGAAAGCAGAACAGCAGAAGACCCTTTACAGTTTCCAGCCTAGGGGCTTTTAACCATGCGGATGGAAATCAGACCAGCTTGGAGCTTTCTCAGTTAATTTCTCCTACCTTTGTGGAGGAAAATCGAGTTCTGTGTATTGACCCTGTTGATTAGCCATTGTTAATCAAGGTAGAAGTGCCTGATGCTCCATCCTTTTTTCCAAATGCCCTTGTAGTAACTGGTACCAATCACACAGGAGAGCCCTGTGGAAGCCAGCTGGAAGGAGGAGGCTCTGCCGCGGGGCAGCCGCGGGCTTTGCGTGGC